ATGCACACCTTTGACTTTTGCCCATTGTTTCACCCACACTTCATGTGCAGCTTTATTGCCACAGAAGATGTAAATAGCATCTAACTGTTGCATATCATGAATGTTAGGAACCAAATGTTGACCTAGGGATCCTGAGGTGATGACAAAAGCTTTCTGATCATGAATAACTTTGAGAGATTGAATGCATTGTTCTGGTGTAGTGCAAAGATCAACATAATTGACTATACCGCGCAATTGTGCCAGTGTGTTGTGGTAAATTTGTTTTGTTTGATCAATATTGCTATCCACCCAGAAGAGCAAAAAGTTTTGAGCCTTGCGTTGTCTTGGTACGCTGCTATTCGATGATGCTGTTGTACTTGTAACATCATCCATAGATGAAATAACCTTTTTCTTAGACGTTTTTTCTTCCATAGTGTGCTTGAGTTGAGTAAAAAACTTCGATTTTTTTGTGCTTAGTAATTTTATTTAATAATAGACAATTAAAGCAAGCTTTCTGACTTAGATGAAAACTGATTATCTTTGTTCGATATTTTATAGTATTATTTCTTATCTTTATGTTTAATATTATCACTCGCATGAGAATTTTAAGCTGCGCTTTATGCAATTCAATCTTTATAAAGCAAGGTCAGTATATAGGTTACAACGAGTTCTTTTTTCTTTGTAACGTACTTGTAAGATAAGAGACACTGCTTTTATTGCAAAAAAGAAGATTCTCATCTTATGTAGTATCTATTAGAAGAATGCATTGAAAATAATCATATTTGTGCAGTCATCTATAATGAATAAAAGGGATGTATTTGGATGTGTATCGATAAGTAGGCGAATAATGTTGACGAAACAATTTTCTGTCCATCTTTATGTTGACAATAAAAAAAGTTTAGATATACCATTTACTTCTAATAATTGTATTTGACTGCTATAGGAGGAATGAAATAAACACATATGAAAACATATAAGCAAATTTCATGATTTAAATATTTATCCTTAATAAAAAAAACTAGATGAATAAAAATTACTGAGGTTCCTCATTGCGAGAAATTTGCTGCAACCATTGTCGTAGTCAAAAAAATTCTGGATTTCACTGTTGCAATTATGTTGAACTAGAACTATTGTCAATAATCCGTGATATTCATTCAATCGTAGGATACCGAATTTGTGGATACTAAAATTTTTCATAAATTTGTTCGGTTTTGCGAAGTCATTCAAACAGAATGCTATCATTATTGGCATGGCATTAGTATTGCGGTGAGTGTCTCTGAAATCAACGCTTTTTATTCTGCAAGTTTTTGTGCTACTTTATTTGGTTAATGAAAAATGCCTAGATCTGACTATGTCTGTATAGGTCAAGATAGATAAATACTCCATAATCATTTCAATACATTATTTTTTTTTCCTCATTGAGTCTCAACAGTTCTTGAAAAGAACATCTCAACTTCTCGCTAAAATAAAAAGAGTATGCAAATTCATTCATCAAGGTAATGTTATCTTTATTAACAAATATAGTCTCTTTCTATGACCAAAAGATATGATGTTAAAATGATGTCATTCACTATTTTATGCTGAAGAACGTAATTTACTTCGTCACTTGATGCAAAATTGATAAAAGTGCATTTGTCATGTGCGATTGTGCATAATTTCTTGGCAGTAACTATGAATGCATTCAAATGACATATTTAGTAGTAAAAAGTCTATTTCATAGCACTTACATATACAAGAGCATGATAAAAATATGTTAGTTAAAGCGTCTTTCTTTTATAATAGTCTGTACATATCTAGGCTCATTTCAATATGTAAGAATAGAGATGCTTGCAAAAATAGCATTGATCAGACGAAGAATCAAAAAAGAAAATATAATACTTTTGTACTTGAAATTACTTTGAAATATTCTTAAGTCGGTAAAGATAAAAGTATAAGATAGTGAATAAGATATGTCGTCACAGTGAAAGTAAAGGCGTAAAGTATCATACAGACAGAGAGTCATCATAAGAAAGAGCTTGGAATCAAAGAAATGACGCACTTCATATCATCGCACGAGAGAGAATGATACTTGAAGGGATAACACCGCTCGTTTCATCTTAGAAATGATGCGAGTCGAACGGGTTTTCAAGGGCACGTCGTGATCGTAAACAAATTTTGAAATCAAATGATTTCCGTGTAAACTCGTTTGAAGCATGAAATCTCTGAGTGTGAAATATACATCGGAATAGAAGAAAAAAGACATAGTTGGCTAAGATGTTGCATTTGTGTTCGGACGCATCATTCCATCACTTCGTTAGTTTGATAATGCTATATTAATTCTATTTATTTTGCATTTACTTTACTATCAAAACATTTTGCTTATACTAATTTTATACTTGTAACGAACTTGAATAGAAACTGAAGCAGAACGGTTGTAATGTTAGGAAAGAAAAGAGACGTGAATGAAGAGATTACATGACATTACAATACTCACAATGCGTATTTTTAGTTTTTTTTACTATTTCTACAGAAAAGTCATTATTGGAATTTTATCACGGTTCGGGGTGAATGACTTATTTGTATGGTTTCGGAACTTTGTTTGATATTCAAACTCTTATTAGATATCTATTCATATTAACTATACTCAAAGAAAATCGTAATCCAATAGATTCGACCTAATACATGTGCTCATCCTATTCTTTCCTTTGACTGTAAAATCAATATTGGAGTTTCAAGAAAATTTTCCGAAAATATAAATTCAAGAAGTTACTGAACAACACAAAAAGAAAAGTTCCTACTGTTGAGCTTTCCCACATGGATCTAT